ACGAAGAGAAAACAGAAATTCGAGTTAATGTTAGGTAATTTACATTGTCAACAGAGTATGAAGAAAGTTTGTGCCACAATCGAGTAAGAATAAAATTCGCAGAATTTTTTTTATGGTATGCTTTGTAGGTATAATACAGTAGCTGGAAATAATTTACAGCACAATTTTAACGCTCCAAAAGGACAACATTACTCTATCAAAACAATGGAATGAAAGAAAAAGGAAACCTTTGTTTCTTTTAGTACAAAAAATACCTTTAAACATAACGAATCATAATTTAAAAAAAAATGGTACACATAACTGTACATGAGTAAATGAATCATCGTTTATTAAACACGTCATTCATTCATAATTTTATAAACACTTCTTTCCAAAAAAGCACCTGTCCTACAACTCCTATTCCTGAATCAAAAATAAACAAATGACTGCAACTTTTTATTTAATAAAAAAATAATAATAAGTATAATGTTACTAGATAGTAATATTGTGTCTGATACAGTTTAGTTATCTAAAAAGCTTTGGGACTCAAAAAAAGGAAGATCCCTAGATAGGGTACGAACTCACCTCCGCGAAGAAGGCTTCCATAAAGCTGTCGCGGCCCTCAACATTGACGGCGACATCGTCTGGCCCAACATCGTCGTCGTCACTTTGGGCCTGGAAACAATAAAACCCCAAAATTAACAATTCAACCCTTTACAAAAAAGCAATAAAAATTGTCGTGGGGTGGGGCAAATGACGATGGTTATTATGACATTTGATGACAAACTCTAACAGCCTTATTTAATCACCTAACCTAATTTTCTAAATTATGTAAATTACCAAGTGGATATACCTATATGGCCAAAAAATTCTGTCATACATGACAAACGAAATTTGGATCTGATAAGACCTTCCAAGGGGCGAAGATAATTTAAATCACGTTAACTGTATATTGTTTTCAAACAGGAAACTCAAAAAGGATGTAGTAGAAAACTCTGCTTACCGCAACAAGAGCCGCCAATCTATCCTTCGTCATGTTGAGTGATCAAGAACACAACCCCGCGGATTTCTTTCGTTTTACATAAAAATCTCATACAAAACGTTCACACACAACGACACTAAAAACCAAAGAACACACACTACCTTCTCGGAAATCGATACATCCAAGCAACTGGCACTTCTGCAGTGCCGTGCGTTTCATGCGCATGTGTCAACTACGTCATACTTTTCTGTGACGTAATGAGGAAATTAATTTGTAAAACTATTTATTTTTCATTTAAATATTAGTAAATTTAAGCTATTAACACACGCATCTTTTTATAATACTTTCTGCTTTAACTTTCAACTTCACTACGCTCTATAAAAAAAAAAAAAATAATTTAACCTTAACGCCTGACTCATACTCCTTTACGAACAGGGAACGCCATTGTGAACTCTAACGACTTTTGCTGTTGTCGTGTTACATCAGCTAATTTATAATCCATCCCAAGAATATTACATTTTAAAATTTTAAGGTAGGTACAATTTTATTAGTACAATATTCGTATATTATTATTTTCTTCGTAGCTTATTTACAAGCAGAGAAAAATAATTGTAAAGTCGGCTAGAAGTGTTGAAATTCGTTTGATACGCTTTAAGACCGTTGCCGAACTTAAAATTAAATTCATTCAAAACGTGTCGTTACTAATGCCCATGTAAATTTCCGGTATTTTCTGCTGCGTTTACGAGAACAAATTTTGTAAAAATAATTAAATTGGTTAATAATTGTTGATGTTTATTACAGAAGTGTCAAAGCTAAATCATAAAAATGGCTCAAGAAAGTGATATGCCCACATTCAAATGTGTCCTTGTTGGAGACGGTGGCACAGGAAAGACAACTTTTGTCAAACGGCATTTAACCGGTGAATTTGAGAAGAAATATGTTGCTACTCTTGGTGTGGAAGTGCATCCACTTGTATTTCACACTAACAGGGGCCCCATTCGCTTCAATGTATGGGATACCGCTGGTCAAGAAAAATTCGGTGGACTACGTGATGGATACTACATTCAGGGACAATGTGCCATAATTATGTTCGATGTTACATCCCGTGTTACCTACAAAAACGTTCCCAACTGGCATCGAGATTTGGTTCGTGTTTGTGAAAATATTCCCATTGTTCTTTGTGGTAACAAGGTGGATATCAAAGATAGGAAAGTCAAAGCAAAAAGCATTGTGTTCCATAGGAAGAAGAATCTACAGGTGAGTTGTTTGGGTGCTTATTATTTTTTTTTTTATTTATTAATTAAATATGTTTATGAATATTGGAGGTTATTTTTGTCCTTGATGAGGATTACACCTGTAATAGCTTCAGGTTGATTTATGAAGTCAGTTTTAAAAATAACTTGTGCAGTAGATAAATTTGCTTTAAAAAAATATTTTGTTTAAATTCCATGAATTTTTACGAGAACTAATAGGCTTTTACTAAAATTATAAGCAGACCCATCTGAATTTGTTTATGTTAAATGAAAAATGCTTATTACTATAAAGGTACACCAGTTTCCCTAAGAACTTCCTTTGTTCCAGAACTCAATATACGTATGTGTGCTATAAAATTAAATTGCTTATAAAAATTGACTTGTATTTATATCAAACAACAATTTACTGGTTTATTATTTTAATTAATAAGAACAATCATCAGATTATTAGTCTTAATTCAATAAAGTTAACTTTGAATCTAATTATTTCTATTACAAATTAGAATAATAATGAAACAAAGACATTAAAAAGGAGTAATATATTTCGTTTTGTATGGCTTGAATAAAACTAACAATATTTTTTTGTGTTAATTTAGTACTATGATATCTCTGCGAAATCCAACTATAACTTTGAAAAACCATTCCTCTGGCTAGCAAGGAAGTTAATAGGAGACCCTAACTTAGAATTTGTGGCAATGCCTGCCCTTGTGCCCCCAGAAGTGCACATGGACCCCAACTGGCAGCAACAGATCGAAAAGGATCTCATAGAGGCTCAACAAACAGCCTTACCAGAAGACGATGAAGACCTCTAATTTAATTTTTTTTTTTTTAGTTTTTAGATGTAAACGAATTTTAAAAGCACTACCACCGTCAACTCTAAATGATCACTGTTCTTTTTCTTTTTTATCACTAACTGGATTAATTACTACTAATTTTTGTAATTACCACTGTTTAATTCCAATGAAAATTTTTTAGTTAGCTTGTAAACTTGTTGAACCCCCTGTCGCAAATGAACAAGTAAAGGTGTTTTTTTCGCGAATAAAAAAATAAGTTGTATGTAAAGTTTTGAACTGAATGATGAATGTGAGAAGGACTTTCCTATTTTTATAAAACTTGCTTTGTACATTTAGTATCAAAAACGTGTACTGTGTATTAATGATACTTCAATAAAGTTAAATTTGAATCTAATGATCTTTAATTCATTAATTAAATTAGAATAATTGCAAATATCAAGAATTAAAATTTACAAAAATTATATCCATTTTATTTCAATAAAAGCTCAGAAAATTAGATATTGAACTTAATTTTTTAACATAATCTTAACAAATTTAAGGGTGAAAAGACGAAACAATAATTAATAAAATAAAATTCAAAAATATTTCCAGTGTTAAGTGTCATCTACTGTATGGTGTATGAACTATTATCGGCGCCATTTTTTTCAAACTATTTAATAGTTTGGCGCCATTTAACATAACCTTAACGTTTATAAAANTTAAAGGTTTAAGAAAACTTATTCATTTAAACTTTGAGAAAATTCGTCCACTCGCGCATGTTAAAAATTCAAGGAATTTTGATTTACAGTTGCGAATTATACCGACTCGTTTGAATAAACATAATTTACGGAATTTAAACTGATTAAATTGCTATTTCCAGTGTTAAGTGTCATCTACTGTATGGTGTATGAACTATTATCGGCGCCATTTTTTTCAAACTATTTAATAGTTTGGCGCCATTTAACATAACCTTAACGTTTATAAAAAGAAAGTGATTTTTTTAAAAAATGTCTCACACAAAAGAAGGGTTTGATGAAACATCACTACAATATGTGCTTCCTATCTATTACAAAAGAATATTTCCATTCGATTCGCTGTGCAGGTGGCTTTCATACGGTGATTATTTTAGGTGGTTAATAAAAGGGGCCCTGGAATCTTGAATTTCTTTAATTTTGCAGGCAGCTGGCATTACTTCGAAATGCGAGAATTCACCTTTGTATTACAAGGCGATCGTTATGTACGTTATTTATCCTTTGATAATAATAACGAATTCGCACAAAAAGTAAAAAAGAAAAATCCTATAAAGATTGACATAGGTGCTGTGTATAACATGAAACCCAGCCTCATAAAAGGAAAAACAACTTTTTTTCCCGAAGAAAGAGAATTAATCTTCGATATTGACCTGACTGATTATGATGATATTAGAAGTTGTTGTAGTGGAGCAGATATATGCCGAAAGTGCTGGAAGTTTATGGTTATAGCCTGCAAAGTGTTGGATGCAGCTCTAAGAGAAGATTTTGGTTTTAAGCATTTGTTATGGATTTTTTCAGGTAGAAGAGGTATCCACTGTTGGGTGTGTGATAAAGCAGCAAGAGTGTTAGATAGTGAATGTCGTGAAGCTGTAGCAGGATATCTGGTACTCCTTGAAGGTGGTGCACACAGATCAAAAAAGGTCAACTTGCCAGATGAACATTTACACACATCAATACAGTAGGGTACTTGTATTTTTGTAACTTTATTATTTAAAATAATATTTTTAGGAGAGCTTTAAGAATCATTGATTCATATTTCGAAGAAGATATTCTTAGAGGACAAGACATTATTGGGACTGATGAGCGTCTTAGAAACTTTCTTCAAATAATTGATGATGATATTAGACCTCATTTTGATGAAGTTTTATCCAATGCTAAAACTACTGTGGGAAGATGGAATGCATTTGTACAACAGTTTGATTACCTGCTTCAGAGAGTAGAAAGTTACTATATGAATAATATTTTTTATCTTAAAGACTTTTATTGTAGCAGCAAATTCCAAAACACCTTAGAAACTTAAAGGAGGAAATTAAACTGCAATATTCATACCCAAGATTAGATTACAAGGTTTCAATAGGAATGAATCATTTATTGAAATCTCCTTTCTCTGTTCATCCAAAAACAGGAAAAATTTCAGTACCATTCAACCAAAAGCTAGTTGATCGTTTTGATCCAATTTCAGTACCAACAATAACGTAATTTTGTAAAAATTTATTAAAAAAAACATTGTAACAATTTTACTATATTTTTATAGAAGCATTATGGATGAAGTAAATGCATACGATGCGAAAACTATGGAGCAAGAATCAAGTGTTTCTGATATTACAACAGAAGAAAGTGTAGTTTCCAGAAACATCAAAGATATTAAAAAAACAAGTCTATTAAAACCAGTGACTATTTTTAATGAATTTGTTAAGCAGTTAGAGAAGGAATGGAGAAAAAAGGATACCCAAGAATATGGTATAAGATTAGCTCATTTTCTATTTTGTGATAAATTTCTTTTTCTCTACTTAAATTTGTTTTAGATGTGGCCATGGAATTCTGATAATAACTTTTAAGTAAATAGAATCTATACTTCTTCATTTTTAAACATAAATGTTTAAGAGAATGCTCTATAACAATATTTTTTTGTGTTAATTTAGTACTATGATATCTCTGCGAAATCCAACTATAACTTTGAAAAACCATTCCTCTGGCTAGCAAGGAAGTTAATAGGAGACCCTAACTTAGAATTTGTGGCAATGCCTGCCCTTGTGCCCCCAGAAGTGCACATGGACCCCAACTGGCAGCAACAGATCGAAAAGGATCTCATAGAGGCTCAACAAACAGCCTTACCAGAAGACGATGAAGACCTCTAATTTAATTTTTTTTTTTTNAAATTCAATCATTATATTATTAATAATAATAAATGAAGTGAATAGTAAGTCGTCCATGTACCATGAAATTTGTGGGGAATTCACGGGGCGAAGGATGTACTTAGAATTGGGGGAAGAAGGGGTGCTTACAGCAAGAAATGAGAGTAATTTAAGGGAATATCATTATAAACATCAACTTCATAACATATCTACTCACAGCCAGTGCAGTTTAGAATTAATAACGTGCCCAAGCTGCATTATATCCTTGAAGTTTACGTAAGTTTCAAATATGCTGTCGTACTATCAGTACCTACATTTAAGTTAAGTAATTGTTATAATACATTTAAGTTTTTATTTAATCGTTATTAAAAACCAATGTACAATTAATGACTTTCAAAAAGATATCAGCATAAGACTTACGACCTAAACAACAGCTAATACGAAGGAAATCTTCATTTCCTTTATATTTACCTATAATAATTTTTACTTAGAGCTTCTCATTACATACCTCTTTTTAAATATAATTTCGCCAAATGAAATGAAGATATTTGGGAAGCTTCCAAAGTCTCAGCATCACGTTTTCCAAACAAAATCCTTTTTTTCTCAACACTATATGTTAACAAATCTACTGTTTTTTGCTATATAAAACTTCTTTTCATCGAAAAATTAAACCAATACATTTGAAACTTCATTAAAGGTTTAAGAAAACTTATTCATTTAAACTTTGAGAAAATTCGTCCACTCGCGCATGTTAAAAATTCAAGGAATTTTGATTTACAGTTGCGAATTATACCGACTCGTTTGAATAAACATAATTTACGGAATTTAAACTGATTAAATTGCAAAAATTCACAAATTTATAACTTTGATGACAATTACATTGTTATAAGGCGGCCATCATTAAAAATTCGTTTGACAGCCAATCAGATCGTTCCATTTTTTAAATAAAATGATGGCCGACCTAACCAATTATAAATTCAAAAAGTAATGATGTTTGATAAGTAAATATGATAACTATTACGTATTTGTTCAAAAGTAACGCACTCACTAATCTGAACAACTAAGAAAAATTACAATATCTCTATCTATCTCTCTCTCTCCCTCCTATTCTATTCTGCATTCAGAAAAATACCGGCCTCCTTCCCTATTCAAAATAAGCATAGAAAAGCGCTCGTTAAATTATTGGACGATGGAAGGCATTTATTAAGGTCTAAGAAGTGATAATTATGTAAAAAAGGGCGTACAATCTAATGGTGCTAACAGTTTTCAAGTGCGGTGTCAAATAAGTAATTTTCGGCTTCTTTTTTGCTAAAATGTAATAAGTAATTTAAACATAAAAAAGCGCTCGTGAAATTATAGGACGATTGAAGGGATTTATTACGCTCTAAGAAGTGATAATTATGTAAAAAAGGACGTAGAATCTGATGGTGCTAACAGTTTTCAAGTGCGGTGTCAAATAAGTACTTTTCGGCTTCATTTTTGCTAAAATGTAATAAGTAATTTAAACATAAAAAAGCGCTCATGAAATTATAGGACGATTGAAGGGATTTATTACGCTCTAAGAAGTGATAATTATGTAAAAAAGGACGTAGAATCTGATGGTGCTAACAGTTTTCAAGTGCGGTGTCAAATAAGTACTTTTCGGCTTCATTTTTGCTAAAATGTAATGAGTAATTTAAACATAAAAAAGCGCTCGTGAAATTATAGGACGATTGAAGGGATTTGTTACGCCCTAAGAAGTGATAATTATGTAAAAAAGGACGTAGAATCTGACGTTTACTGTTTTTTTTAAAGGTTTTTAAATATTTCACGAAATTGCGACAAGAACACAGTACTAGATTCGTGCGGGTGCGACTACGTTTGGATATATGAGCCCCCATTCGATGAAGCATCCGGGGAACAATTTTGCGGTCATTTCTTAAAAAACAATAGCACCTCGTTATCTTACACAAGCCAAACGAGAAGTGTGGCAATTTCTTTTTTATTCAGCACCAACTATGATCACGCATTTACAATTACGTTTTCATCGGAAAGTAAGTATTATCTAATCTTTTTTTTTTTAATTTTTTACTAATGTGGGAACAGTATTTAAAATATTTTACGAATATTTGAACAGGAAATCGTCAAGTTTTTAATGGTTTTCCGAAATACGGAAATGTTAATAATGAAACTCAACTTTTAACATCTCCCTTCTTCCCTTATTCATACCCGAGGGATTTGAGTATTGAATACATTGTTAAATGCCATTCTGCAGAAAATTGTCGAATACGATTGATATTTTCGGACTTTTACCTTTCTAGAACATCTATTATAGAGGTGAGGTAAAAGTGGTTTCAAAAAAATAAATAAATAAAAGATACTATTTTAATTAAAGTTTTTTGACTGGAATGGTCAAAGAATGGAAGTCGCCACAGGGACGGCATTTAGACCGACAGTTATAATTTCGTCAGGGCCCACTTTGGTGATAAGATTCTACGCAAATGGCGGTACCAGTATGGGGTTTAAAGCTTCGTATATGTTTTTATTAGGGGACGCTTATAATGACGTAACCTTACGACCAAACACCGGTTACAAAAAATATCATATTTCTTAAAATATATTAATTATTTAATAACATTCTTTTTTAGACTGTGGCGGATATGTTAGTAATTTAGGGGGCGCAATTACCATGATGGATATGGTAAAAGAAGGTACAAAACCGTTCGATTGTTACTGGGTAATACAACCACCGCGAGGATATATGCATTTGCAAACGCATTTGTACCTCAAAGTGGTCGAATTTTCCGATTTTGGTAATTATAAAATTTGTACTGTTCTTTGTTTTTCAATGTAAAGAAATCGAAAAATTAAAGGCGGTAACACACAACTGACTGTTCGACAAGGTGTAACATCGAACGAACCGGCGTTGGAAACTCTACGTCATCCCATGTCTTACTTTTTCTTGTCAAAAAAGAAAGAACACGTTGTGTCTCTCTCACAAGGATTTTACGTAAGTTTAAAGGGACTCTTTCGACCCGAATCCCGACTTTCAATTGTCTACACTGCATTCAGTTACAAAGGTAAAACAATGAAACTTGGACAACAAAAATAAAGGCAAATGCAATATTTTCTAGAGTGCATTCCTGGTTCTGATTTCTTTTGTCAAAATCATCGATGCATTCCCTTGTTTCTTCGTTGTGATGGTTTCAATCATTGCGGTGACGAAAGTGATGAACCTCTGGCTTGTTTTCAAGGTTCGTTGAAACAAAACAATAATAGGGAAGAGTGGTGTAATTGAGACATTTAGCTTACTTCGTATAAATTTTTTTATCAAATTCCTTGGTCAGCTAGGTAAATTTTTCATTTTATAATCGAATCATTTGATCCACAGCATCACGCACGGCTGTCGTTTACTTTACGATGAGGCAGAAGTAGAAACTCTCTTCCGCGTCGCTTGCTCTAATTCTAATTCTAATTACCCCACTTTCTTCTGCCTTGGACATTCCAGTTAATAAATTACGTGTTGTAGAGTCTAAAGACCATCACTGGGTTCATACCCCCAATTTCTTTTTTCCCAAAATCGATCGTTATGCGGACTTACAGACAGCAACAGTCGCATTTATAATTTGCAGCATGGGTAAAGCCTCAAAATTAAATAAAAAGTAATTTTAGAGAAATAACACATAGACAATTTCAGGTTTAGTAGCTCTAATATTCGCAATGATTATTTTGATTTATCGTATAAACGCAAGGGCAAGACAACAAAGGCAGCTTCAAGACCATCTTCAAACCATTAGTAGCCTTTTAGGTAAGTGTAAGCACTCCGTTTGTTTTACAAATTATTTCAAAGAAATCATAAATATAATTTAAAAATCGATGTATAAATAAAGTTGAGGGCGGGGCGGTTCGACGAATATTCGCTTTTGGATTTTTTGGGTGTTGTCCCATTATCAAGGGTGTCTAGCGAAATGGTCAAAAGAAAGGTAAATATATATTTATCACCAAACTAATGGACCTCGAACTTTTCAAAGCTGTCACAAAATATAAACAATATTTTTCTTTGATATATTCAAGTTCTTTTGTAAAAAAAATTGTGTAGAAGATGGTGTTGCTGGTCAAGAAGATTTGATAACAGATGAACCACCAAATTATGAGGCTCCACCAGAATACGAAGAAGTGATAAGGACCCCAGCAAAGGGCAACGAGTACAGACGAACCGTCAGGAAAAGTTCAACCGATTCCCGAAGCCGTTCAAATTCAAGAAAGTACGTCTCAATTAATTTAAAAACGTTTTTCCTCCTGTTATAATTATTGTTTTTATACGAATATTCTTTAGGCGAAGTTGTTCCCGTTGCTCCCGGAAGACCGGCGACGATTTTCAAGAGTCCTCCTCGGGCAGTAGAAGGACATCGCTGGGACCATTTCTAGACAATGGTCTTACAGAAAATGAAAACAAAATAAATGCGGGGGCTACTAGTTCAGCATCCATTCCAAATTCACCTCCACCCTCTTATTCCCATATTACCTACAATTCCATGACACCCCTAATTCGGATTCAAGAAACTTCTTCTATCAGTTCAGCGGAAAATGTATCGGAAGGTAATTATTTTTGAAAAATCGTTTAGAGAATTGATAACGTTAGGTTTTTCAGGAACCGAAGAAAATCCGTTGATATTAACCCCACGAGAGTTAATACAATAATAAAAAAATAAGACAAAAATCATAAATTTGTTAATGTGTAAATTCTGTATAAAAATAGTGCTAATTATTTGTCAATATAAAATCAAAATTGACTTTTATTTTCAAATATTACTTACCATACACCACTTGTTGTACCTGTACATAAATTCGACGAAAATAAAAGTAAGAAGAAAATATTTAAAAAATTTATTTATATTTTCAAAAATATAATAAAAAAACAATTCATTTAAAAGACAAATAAGAGTTTCTTTTTGGATATGTATCTAAAAAGGGCATTAAATCACATAGCAATAACAAATATTGTTTAATTAAGTATTAAACAATTAATCTACTCTATCGCTAAGTAAATAAACTACCTACTGGTACTTTTTTCTATTGAAACATTAATTTCAATAACAATAATTTGCATTTCATGTATATATGACAGCACATTTTAATTTTCATCCTATCACTATCATTAAGGAAATCCAAAGATTGCTTTCGAGTAATTCTTTTTTATCACATTTCAATTTGGCACACTTGTGTGTCGAAAATGCTTTTGTCGTAAACTCTAAACAATTTAGAGGCATCATTTCTCTTTTCAACTGTTTAATAAGTATAATTGCCGAATAAAAAATATATAATATGTCGTAAGTGTATATATGTAGTAGATACTTATTATTTATTAATATCTGCAAACTTTTTGGCAAGATAGCACCATTTTTCACATTCACCACGTAAACGACTTCAACTGGACTTTACCAAATTAACGCAAAAAAGCGATATCTTTTTGTTTTATTTCTTTATAAAGATGACGATCGTTAGCGAAATTGCTGCCGAACACATAAATATAGTTATCAATGAATTTATTTACGGCGTGCGATATGTTTTTGTGATTTAATACTGATATAATGGAAATGTAATTGTCACATTACTTGCTACTTACAAACGCATCTCTTTTTAATTTCAAGTTCGTGAGTGCACGTTTGTTTCCCATAAAAGTCGATTCGTAGTATATGATCGATACTGGTTTCGAGCTGGGGATGGGTTTTATTACCTTTTACGACGACGGGGGCCTCAAAAATAGCTTCTGGTGACGTTTTAATACCGACATACATGTAATTTTCGGTAGTAAAAGCGAGAGCGGTGATAACCTTACTTAATGTAAAAGTTTCGCATTTTTCTGCCTCTGTCCCGGCGTTCTTCTTCCAGTTTTCTATAACGTCTACAATATATTTCCCAGCTAATTGTACTATGGGTTCTTCAGTGTCCATTTCTTTGGCATGATAACAGGTACACCACGTCCTGGGGATTCCAGCGTCGTCACAGGAACGGTCCTGTGGAACGGGAGTAAACAAGGACCTGCAGTCTGGGCACGAAATGCCCGGTTCACTGGTATAATTTTTCCCCGACAACACCAAAATATGCTTCAAAGTCTGATGAAGATCGAAAGGGGTTGTAAGTCGATTTATGTTCTGTCGAAGAGAAGAATATTCGTTGGCGAATTTGTTTTTGAACCACGGTGGTAAACGAATGAAGAAAAATGGTAACTTATCTTCGTACCATCCCGCTCTCGTGTAACGTATGTCACCGAATCGCATGCCATGGTCGCTCAGAAATATCGTTATGGTATTGTCTAAAGATTTATTATTTGAAATTTCCGATAAAAAAGTTTTTAATTTGGCGTCCATCCGTGAAACGGAATTTAACGCGTTATGGCTGAAGGTATTCATCCAGAACAAACCGAAATACGGATTTTCGCGGAATGTTGAGATGAAATCTTTGGCAATGTTAAGGATTCTTTCTCCAGAAGTCTCGGGACCTATACCAAAATGGGTATTTATGTATGAAGGGCAACCAAACTTGACTCAAGAACGGTTTCGTAATAGCATCAAGGAAGCGCCAATTGAAAGAGAAAAGCAAAGGTGAAGAAAAATAGCAAATTAAAATAGTGAGATGTAGAAAAATACTTTCGATGAAATTAAGACAGAGAAAGAAGCAATAGTTTTGACTAAAGAAGCTTTGGTTGTTAAGGAACATAAAATTATATTTGTGGAGAATGGAAAGAATTATTAGGTATGTTAAAAGAGATAAAATATTTAATAATTTCTTACCTGTGCAATAAACCATGCCATCTTTCCAAACGGCTTTGAGTTCTTTTTCAGCAGCAATCATATACGGTCGAAAATAGTAGTCAGTCGGTGGATTTTCGAAGCCTTTTTTATGGTAATTAAAGGTACTGGAACTCATTTGATCTTCAGCGTATGCCGTGATGTATCCCAGCTTTCTGTAGTCGTACCAAACCATGTTGCATTTGTCTAAACAGCCCAGCTTGGTAGGATTGCAATCTTTATAACTTGCACTTTCGTTCAAACCAGTTAGTATTGCCATCACGTTAGGAAATGTATTTTCACCTACTTTATTATATCCCATCAATTCTATCCAGCCGTTTTTTTCTAAAAACTTTCTCGTTTCTGGTAAAGCTCTATGGGAATGCATTCTAGATACACTATCTATTGATATGATAAGAACACTCAGGGGATTTACCGTGCCGTTCGAGAATTTCGAGTCTTTCATTTTCTGGTAAACGTCTTTTGGATTTATAATTGCGTGAACGTTTTTGTACATCGTTTTTTTCGATTTCCGATTGTAACATTTTACGAAAACCGAAGAATTCACCGATAGTTCCTCCTTGAATTTTTCACATCTCGATAAGCTACAATTTTACACAAAACAGTTTTAGATTTTGCAATAATTCTGCATCAGCGGCGGCTAGTACTTTCGGAAACAAGTGAAGAATTGCAAAAAGCAAACGTCGCAAATACAAACAATAATTAACCTAAGGTGCAGCAGATTGTTCAAACGGCTGCACTCTCTTCACTATTCGAAAGTTGGTTTGTAATTTACCAATATCATAAAGGAACTTTTGTACACGAAATGTCTTCATTTATTGCAAAACGAAAAATATTATAACAGAATGTATATTTATATATGTTCTCCACTTACTTCACCTGATAGCCGCAACTGCCACTTTATATAGTTTTAATAGAACTTTTTTCGGTGTTGCTCACCTGAAGTCATTTTCTGTTACTCTGTTTATGGTGCTGGCACAACATTCAACCTCCTTTTTGTAGCATTTAGCTGAAGTATCAATTTTGATTTTAGTTTCGTTGTTTTCTTTAACTATGTAAGTAAGAAGGCGATCTTTGGTACAGAAAAAATAAGAAAGTTTACTTATCAATGGTTTCACCTGAACGTCCCAAATATCTAAATCGGGAATGGCACATTTCGAATTGCGTACGAGAAACTTTAAATGTTGATCTAAAAGTTGCACTGGGTATTAAGATTTAATTACTCATTTACCCTTTAAAGAACGATTATCTTACCTAAGCTTAAATTAAATAAAGCACTAAGAACACCTGGAGAATTTGTTGAATCTATGAAAAACGCGCCTGTTTAAGATTACAAAAGTAGTTTTAGTGTTATAAACAACATTTATTTTTTAGTTTGTTTTGTACTTACTTGGCTTTATGAAATACGGTACTGTTACATCTAAATTTGAATAAGAAAAGAGCATTATTGTCACTGTTACTCCGAATAACAAGTAGGCAAACAGTCCATAACTTTTTCTATTTATTTCCATACCTTTCCCAAAAAATCTGTAAAGTAGATCGCCGTGTTCACTATTTAAATATTTTCTGTGACATTGCCGAACGTACGTACATGCATACGTACGACATGCAATTTAATTAAGTGCATAAATGTACCGAGCACGGAAGTTTCTTGTTTACTTTTTACTAATAATAAATTTTCTGCGACACAAACGGACCTTATGGACCGAAATGAAACGTGAACAGAATTAATTTTTACTTACGCATTTTCAACTCTATTTTTCTTATGTTGTAATAAAAACGAAATCTTTCTCGTAACTTTTACCATATCAGTTTATGTTTCTGGTTTATGCGTTTCAAAAGTTTAATATCGAAAAAAATGAAAAGCGTGAATAATATACTAACAGGGTGACCGTGAAAAATGAAAGAAAAAGAAAACAATTGCACAACAACAGTGCAAGCAATAATTTTTTGCAAATGCAATGCTGAGGTTTTCGAAAATGATTTTATAACATAAACAAATAACGTAACGTACAGTCTGATAAGCATAACAAGTAAAAACATATCTACGAATATCTGAATGAATACCTTAATTTTTTTTTTATTTCCATCGCGATTGCTGCTGATGATATTGTTGTAAAAGGTCATCGGTTGATAACAAAATGCCTTTTCTGACCACTAGAATCGCACGCTTATCCCAAAAACACAACCCAAGATTATCGACCATAGTCCTTGAATTTTTCAAAAAAATTCTCCCCTTTCTGATAACTACATCAAACCAATGAAAAATTGATGGAAATCATTTAGTGAATGAATAGAAAAATCGATTCATATGCACACGCGCAAATCTCTAGCAATTCTCCTTTTCTAAAACCAGCAGACACAAGGCGTTACAGAACGTTTACAAAATTTATTAATAAATAAAAATATATCTTGCATATATTTTACTGCAAAAAAATGTGTCGTTTTTGTTTGATGAATTTGAAAAGGTCCAAACACAAACTTACTTTTTCGTAAAGCAATTTGAAATTGCACTGAAAGCACTAGCAGCACTACAATCTCGCAGATTAACCACTGTATTAAGAAAATGTTTCCTACTTATTAGAGAGAGAACTCTAAACTGACTGCGAAATTTTCAGGTGTGAAAATTATTTATAATTGTTTCACTTGGCAGTAATACGACCATCGCGTGTGTTGCGCTTTAAAATTGTGATCGATTGATGCCGCCAATTGTAAAACTTTTATTGGCGCTTTAATAGGCACTAACAGTTGGTAGGTAAATAAGTAAGTGCAGCAGCTGTCTTAAATTTTGTTATCACCGTGTTGTCACCGTTGATATTCCTTCTCAATACATTGCTCTAATTGAAATTACTGGTAGGTAACTTGTTTATGTGTGTGAAGACAATGAGAGTTACACAGCTTTTATCAAGTTCTAGATACCCCTACACATTTCCTTAGTTACGTATTCGAACAAAATGTTATGTTATATACGATGCATAAAGTACAGTAGCTCACGAAAAACGAGTTAAATAAAAAATTATCTATTATTTTACTAAGTTATGACTGAATTCAGAAACTTGACAAACGACGTACTTTCGGAACAGAGGTATGGTAAAAAATCGCATACGACATCCCATTCAGGAAATTCGCCGCTCAGGACTTCGTTTCGAATTTCGGGTAACAACTATCTAACACAATGTTCTACAACCATTCTTTTATTGGTCAATTTATCAATTACCTACATTAATGGAAATAATAAAAATGCGCATCGAGTAAATAAGCTCAATCTGGAATATACCGAGTGTTTTAATTACAATTTCATCAACAGCGAACAACTACATCAATCTCATTTAAGATAATAAAAAATCTTCGTCGTACATATTGCTATTTGCTATTACGTACGTTATTACTTTTCTTAGAAAAATAATTAAAAAAAAAAAAAACGATTACATTTACTGATCAATTAGATAATATAAGGATGCTGCATTATTAACTTTATAAATATTAATGTTAATCTTGACCTTTACGTTCGTATGATATCTGGTGTAGGCACTATCGCAGTGCACGACAATGGGATATAAATTTATTCAATTATTGTTTAACGACAGATAACAATAATTAACGATTTAAGTGACATTCCCTGTCCAATAATCATTGTAAAATTCATTCCGTATATTTTTTTATCAACTAAACATAAATTTTGTTTAAATAGTTTGATCAAGTTACAAAAGTTATAAATACTGTTGATGAAATTAGTCTGTCCTTCTAATTTCATTTAAAAACAATTGTTAGATCTCTTATTAGATACTGTCCCATTATCCACTATCACACTTCCTTCTAACTGTAAAAACAACAGGCAAACATTTTTGATAGGCCTCTTCGCTATGTATACATACAATAATGCTTACAAAACATTTAGTCTAATTATTATTGTAAACCATTTATATCACCAAAATAAAAAAAATTGATTATTATATTTTTCTAACTGGATTCTCTAATAATTATGTTCGAGCTAGAGAAATTTCGGGTTAAGGGAAATTTCTCCCTTACCATCAAACTTTTTAATTTTTGTCTAGGTTCGACTACGTATTCTTATTTGGTTATAGTTGGGATTATTTGTTTATCAATTTGAAAAAAATAAGCACTAATCCCTTAACTTATTTTCATTTGTTTTTAAGATAAAATTGAATTTTATCACTATAATAGTTGTCTACCCAGATCCTATACATATGTATATATATTCGATTAGCAAAAATTATGAATAGACAATTTTTATTTGCGTTTGTTTTGTTTATTAGACTAGACAATTGTTTAAAAGTTGTTGACTCTGTTCCTGTTGTAACATAACGGGTTAACAATAATTGTTTTAATTAAAAAATGTTTGTCGTTGATCATCTGAGTGCATCATCCAAAAATGCAAAATATTTTTGTTCGAGGCTTATTTTCTAATTTCGTTCCCAGAACAATTTATGTTTTCACTCATTATGGTGAACGAGGCTGTCATTATCTTCTCGTGAAGAATTTATCAAGGATTAGGTAATTTAAAAACAATTTATGCGATTTACACTGAAGATAAATTTTTATTTCCTTTTTAATTCGTTGCTCCAGGCCTTCAAACATATCGTCTTCAGATTTAATAAACAACAATTTTAAGATATACCGACTAAACAATAATTCTCATTAAAAAAAATATGATTGCTAAATTATATCAAAATAACGTATTTCTCCGAGAGTAAAAAAAATACAAATACTTACCAGAACTATATAAAAAAAATTTTTGAAGGGGCAAGTTCCATTTTTCGTCACTTTGTAGGAGAATCACTATCAACAATTTTCCATTGTGATACGTGCTATTAGCTGAACTGCTAATTACAAAATATTTCGCGGACTAGATACGTAGATACAAAGAAATAGCGCAGCACAAGAACAATTTGCATATTATTAACAAAGACCTTTAAAACAACATTTTCACTTTTTATTTTTTTGTCTATGTATAAATTAATAATTAGCAATTGTTTCTTAACTCGTAAAGAAACTGTAGCATTCTTACAAATGAAATCTACTTAAACACCTACCGGAATATCTTGGGTAGGTGTATATTAATAATAGTAGCTAGACCTACAACATTCATGGCAAGATAGCACCATTTTTCACATTCACCACGTAAACGACTTCAACTGGACTTTACCAAATTAACGCAAAAAAGCGATATCTTTTTGTTTTATTTCTTTACAAAGATGACGATCGTTAGCGAAATTGCTGCCGAACACATAAATATAGTTATCAATGAATTTATTTACGGCGTGCGATATGTTTTTATGATTTAATACTGATATAATGGAAATGTAATTGTCACATTACTTGCTACTTACAAACGCATCTCTTTTTAATTTCAAGTTCGTGAGTGCACGTTTGTTTCCCATAAAAGTCGATTCGTAGTATATGATCGATACTGGTTTCGAGCTGGGGATGGGTTTTATTACCTTTTACGACGACGGGGGCCTCAAAAATAGCTTCTGGTGACGTTTTAATACCGACATACATGTAATTTTCGGTAGTAAAAGCGAGAGCGGTGATAACCTTACTTAATGTAAAAGTTTCGCATTTTTCTGCCTCTGTCCCGGCGTTCTTCTTCCAGTTTTCTATAACGTCTACAATATATTTCCCAGCTAATTGTACTATGGGTTCTTCAGTGTCCATTTCTTTGGCATGATAACAGGTACACCACGTCCTGGGGATTCCAGCGTCGTTACAGGAACGGTCCTGTGGAACGGGAGTAAACAAGGACCTGCAGTCTGGGCACGAAATGCCCGGTTCACTGGTATAATTTTTCCCCGACAACACCAAAATATGCTTCAAAGTCTGATGAAGATCGAAAGGGGTTGTAAGTCGATTTATGTTCTGTCGAAGAGAAGAATATTCGTTGGCGAATTTGTTTTTGAACCACGGTGGTAAACGAATGAAGAAAAATGGTAACTTATCTTCGTACCATCCCGCTCTCGTGTAACGTATGTCACCGAATCGCATGCCATGGTCGCTCAGAAATATCGTTATGGTATTGTCTAAAGATTTATTANTTAATTAAATACTTAAAAATAAGTGTTCATTATTACACTCACAATGTACCTACATACGTATTTGGTATTGTAAGGAATGTGTTCGTTTGAGCAAAGAAATTGTATAAAAATCGATGCAGAAATGCATTCTATAACATCAATTCAATTCAAAGGGGAAAGTAAAATTATTATTGAAAAATTTTCAATTTCCACCATCGAATTGATTCGCGTCCGTTGTTCTAAATTATGTACAAATGCCGACGAGTAAGGAATCGAAAAAGTAAAGTTTAAGTACTGTTTTGTATAGAGACAATTAAAGAAGAGTTACGTTAATATTATCTTCATAAACTTCGACCTTTCACCAGCGGACATCCTGTTAAAATAAACGTATATTAATTGTGCGTAGATTAGGGTGATTCATTGTTTTTATTGACTAATTTCTTTTGGCATAGGTATTAAAAAGTCTATCGAATATTAGAAGAAATAGAGGAACGCGGGAGGCCATTCCAGCATTAAGGGTAGCAATAGAGAAAACGATAGAAAAAGGAAAGACTGCGTACATAGGATTTGTAGATTTAGAGAAAGCTTTTGACAATGTTAAATGGGACAAGATGTTAAATATACTTAAAAATGTAGGGATGAATTACAAAGATAGAAGAGTGATACTTAGTTTGTATAAAGAGCAACAGGCAGTTATAGAGCTGGGGATGCAACGTAGAGAAGTAAATATTAGGAAGGGAGTCAGGCAGGGATGCACACTGTCACCGCTACTTTTTAATCTATACATCGAAGACGCCATCAACATCATTAAAGACAGTACAACTGTAGGGATAGATGTGCAAGGGCAAAAGATTAGTATGCTTAGATTTGCAGATGATATAGCAGTATTAGCATCTAGCAAGGAGGACCTAGAGATAGCTTTAAATAAAATGGAAGCGGTACTGACAGATCAGTACTGTATGAAAATAAATAAAAGTAAAACTAAAATACTGGTATGCAAGGGAAGAAAAAGTAGGGAAAGAGCGAATATAAAGATAGGAGACGAAAAATTAGAAGAAGTGGCTGATTTTAGATACCTAGGAAGTCAGATAAGTGAGGATGGAAGGAGTAGTAGGGATATAAAGCAGAGGATAGCGCAGGGTCGTGTCGCCTTTAATAAAAAGAAGTCACTTCTATGCTCGCGAACGGTTAATTTAGAAATTCGAAAAAGGTTGTTAAAGGTGTATGTTTGGAGCACGGCGTTGTACGGGTGCGAAACATGGACAGTGGGAGCGGCGGAAAAGAAAAGGTTAGAAGCGTTCGAAATGTGGTGTTATAGGCGGATGATGAGGATATCGTGGGTAGAAAAGGTTAGAAATGAAGAGGTATTGGAAAGAATAGGAGAACAGAGGACTCTATGGAAGTCAATAAAAAATAGGCGAGATAGGTTGGTAGGACACCTTCTCAGGCATGAAGGTCTAGTCAGAGACATATTAGAGGCAGAAACAGGAGTTAGGAGGGGTAGAGGTAGACCTAGATTAGATTACTGTTCGCAAATAGTTAAGGATGTGGGCTGTTCTAGTTTTAGGGAAATGCGAAGTTTAGCTCAGGATAGGAAAGAGTGGAGGTACGTGTCCAACCAGTCTTAGTACTGATGACCTTATGATGATGATGAATATTACTTTTGATCTAATTCTAATTATTTGCGAAATTCTTTCCAATTTTCAAACAGAATCGGTTTAATAAATGTTGCAAATAATTTAGTAATACTTACGACAAACTGAGCAATTTAGTTCATCGGTGCCATCCCCGCAACCATCCTTCCCCGAACAGGCAATGGCACTGGATCTGCACCTACCATTCCCGCATCGTAGGGGACAATATTCAGAAAGCCTTCTTCTCGCTCTACCTCTACAAATATGGGCGGGCTCGTCACTAGCATCGCTACATGAAATGATAGCGTTACAAAACTCATACTCGGGAATGCATTTTCCATCCCTGCACTGAAACGTATCAGGTGGACATCCTTTTCTTCCTATAGCCTGCGATAACAAAAAAGAAAAGCAAACTGATACTCTAAAAGAAATATCCAAATTATTATTTGGTAGAAGGAGCGGTAATGTTGAACAATTGTTAAGAAAACCTAGATAATAATTATTTTTCAAGACCTGGCTTTGTAAAAAAATATTAGTTTTGAGATAGGTACCTATACCTAAGGAAGTATCTAATGTTTTTTAAGATTTCATTTTATCACTTTAACTCAGTAAACGAAAATTATTAAATACAACTTTTAAATTCTCATGTGCGTGGAGGCTCTAAAACCTCTTCAAAATAGTCCCATGAGTTTGCGCCACAGAATTTGTGGATTTATGTTTGTCATATTACGGAAAATCCCATTTAAAAATATTTTTGATTTTGGGTTTCTTTACTAGTTGCTTAAAACAGTTTCGGATGTAATTGGTTTCGAGTGCGATGTTTAGTACAATAATTTGGGAAAAATTCAAAAGGAAATTTTATTAGATACCTACCTACCTATTCTTTCAAGATTTAGGTCGATATGCTAAACTTTTCCTATTATTAGCTAATATAAAATATATAGTATAAATTTTCATATCTGTCTTCAGCATATTTTCGTGATGTAATTGTAGGGGTTCTGTTTTGTATTTGACTACAAAAGATGAAAAAACTTGGATTACGTACTTGACAATCTGCCTCGTCTTCACCAGCCGGACAATCGGTTACCCCGTCGCAACGACTGGCACGTGACACGCAGTGACCTGTCGATTTACACCTGTNATATAGTATTAATTTTCATATCTGTCTTCAGCATATTTTCGTGATGTAATTGTAAGGGTTCTGTTTTGTATTTGACTACAAAAGATGAAAAAACTTGATTACGTACTTGACAATCTGCCTCGTCTTCACCAGCCGGACAATCGGTTACCCCGTCGCAACGACTGGCACGTGACACGCAGTGACCTGTCGATTTACACCTGTACGCCTCCGGAGGACATTTCGTACGGGAACATTCCTCATCAGAACCATCGATGCAATCCTTGTGGCCATCACAGACAAAGAACCAACTCAGACAAGTGCCGGAACTGCGACACTAAATTGAATCGATTACAATACGCCCTGTATATAATTTAATTATTTTTTAATGACTTACTTGAAACGTCCCCGGTATGCATCCCCTGTTCCCTGCCGAGCACGAGCTAGTCCCGTTCGTTTTGATAACACAATCACAAACACCTTCGACGCATCTGGACGAGGGATCTGCAGCACGACATTGCAAGTCCGTAACGCAAGGAAGCCCCAAGCTTACAGCCCCATTTCCGTCTTCTACACGCACCCTAGGCCCGGTAGGACTAACAGGTGGAACTAAAAATCGAAATAGTTTCTACCGTCTACACAAAACAAATTGAAATGCTAACGAGAAAGATGAAATAGACTACTATTAATAAAGGATCAACTACATATGTCCTGTTTATTATTATTACTATTACTTATTAGTTAGTTCGCCCAGGGAAATAGTTCTAACTGTTAAAAAGAGCAACTACAGAATGCAAAACAAAAACTCTTTCTTTTACCCAAAATTTTATTCCAATATTAAACTTCGGCTAATACAAAAATTGTTACTATTAATAATAAATAATCATTAATTGACTAACCGTCAACGCAGTCTATTTCGTCGTTGTCATTAGCAAGAACTCTAGTTGTAGTACACCAAGCCTGGACCAAAATTGAGATAAAAACAAGCTTAGGAATTCATTAAAAGAGAGCAACCGAATTATTCAATGTCGGGAAAGCACTTGTTACAGTTCAGTTCCGACCTTAATTAGATGAAACTTATCCGAGAACTCAACTTGTTACCTCTAAGTAAAGTACGTAGGGGTGACCATTAATTACGTGAGGTGTTTTTCATTTAATTTGGATCTACTTCCGTCTTGCTGAGATTTGTGAAGACGTAGTAGGCGTGAGATCTTCAATGATCTCTCGCGTCCTATATGTGAGATTTAATGAAATCTTTATGCACTCCAGCCTCTCTCTTCTTATTTTAGAATCATGTAATTAATGAATTTTCTCTAAAGAAATTACTCCAGTGTATCATGTATATCTCAATCCGGCCCTGTAGTACAGTAAATGTAATGTTATTATCGTGGAACACCCTGATACACACGTGATGATGAAATACAATAATATATTGGTGAAATACGTGAAACAATAGCAACGGTGATTTATATTCCAATTATAATCAAACCAATGAATACTCGGAAATGAAAAATGGAAGGAGAATAAATATGGAGCTAACCGTACTGGTTTTAAAGACTAGTTTGCCTTTTTATATGAAAACCCCAGTTTCGTGAAACAGGAATCCTGCTGTGTGTCCTCAAAATTCTTACCTAGGACGTGAAAATAATTAAAACCATTTACCATCACCTAGTCGTGAATTATTTAGCGATGAAAACGCATAGCTGTACACACATTCTTGCAAATGAATTAAATGCGTGTATACAGTATGTCCCAAGAAAGGAAAATTTAAAACATATGTATCTACAAAAAAATAAGTTTGTACTAAAAAGAACAGTCAAAAGATTATTGAACGTACAATAAAATTCCCCAATCCGTAAAAAGAACTCTACAATTCGAGTTTCCTAAACTAGCTCATAAAACCTCAAACTATTTATGAATTTAAAATAATTACTGGTTGATGTCGAAGTTGGGATGTGACCGGGTTGTTTGGAGGTTGTTGCCACCGTTGGCAATTGTGTGGTGACAGAAGAATGCTTCTTCGTGTTAAAAACAATGTTGTCGTCATCGTCCTTGTCGCGTTCCTTATCGCCAAATCCATTCGTGTTGCTATCAGGTATAGAATTAGAGTCTGTCTCTTTCTCTTGATTATGTGTGGTTGTTGACGAAGAATGAGATGTGCTAGTGGTGAAGAAATGTTCTTTTGTTGTGGATGTGATAATTTGAACGGTGCTGCTTGCAATCGGAAGAGGTGTTGTGGAAGACTGGAAAGCCGATCTAACACAAGAATCTCCGATACGTTTGAACGGTGCGTTGCATTGGCAATGGCCAAAAAGATTTGGAATCAGAAATTCACAGTGGCTGTCCGCTGTCCAAAGTCGACAATGGGCATTGCTATAACATACATTGCCAGGACGAGCCGCTAAAATGACAATAAATCAAATAGGTAACAACAGCTCGTTTACTTATTCAATTTAATTTTATTTGATAGGTAATGACCAAATTAAATTTCAGCTTATGATACATATCATTACATTTTTCATTTTTCAAGTACTTTATTGTCAAAATCTATTACATCAGCATACGTTTTGACTTTTTCACTTTTTTAACCGACTTTCTCAATTCGACTACTACTACTACTACTTAAGGTCGTCAGTCCTAACTTTGGTTGGACAAAAAAAAAACTTTTGGGTGTTTTATTCCCATCAGCCAGTAATGCTGGTGGGCGGGCAGTCCCTCCGGACTACGCCGGAAGGTAGGGCGGAAGGCCCTCTTCAGCCTGCTTTCAGGAATCGTGGGAATGGGTGGGTGGTGGTTC